ATTCTATATAATAAAAGGCTAATATGCAAGTTGATTGAACAACTGAACCACTGGCTGCTATGATGAGTACTGACCACCAGGGGACAGACACTCAACACAGGAGCTGCCCCTGGTGGTCAGTGCGCTCCCACAAGGGGAGCACCACTCAGCCAGAAGCTGGGCTCATAGCTGGTGAGCACAGTGGTGGTAGTGGGAGCTTCTTCTGCCTCTATGGCAGCACTAAGGATGTCCGACTGACGGCTTAGGCCTGCTCCCCCTGGATAGTGGGCCTAAGCCGTCAGTTGGACATCCCCCAAGGGCTCCTCCCAGATTGTGAGAGGGTGCAGGCCAGGCTGAGGGACTCCGCTGAGTGCATGAATTTCATGCACTGAGCCTCTAGTAGGATAAGCCAAGATGATACAATGTAATTGAATTTTTTAAAAAAACTAAAGTGGAAATAATTTACTTTAGGAAAATTTATTTATCAGGAAATAACTTTTATAACAGATAATATTAAACAATATTTAGCACTAAGGTTAAAATATTTAAGTATAATTGACAAACTTTAATAACATAACCAAAAAGTATTTAAAAGGATGTGACATTTTCTTTTCTAATATATTATTTCTAAAATATGCCTACCTATTTATCCAGTAAAGATATACTACGGGCACAGTAATATATATTCTATAGTTTTTCCCTCACCTAACATTATATCAGACCACTTGCCCATATCAATAACAATGCTCCATTAGCCTAATTTTCTTTTCTTTTGTTATCCTCACCTGAGAATGTTTATCGATTTGAGAGAGAAAGGAAGAAGGAAAGAGAGAGAAACATTGATGTGAGAGAGAAACATCAATTCATATGTGCCCTGAGCAAAGACTGAACCCAAAACCAAGGTATGTGCCTGGATGGGGAATTGAACCTATAACCTTTTGGTGCATGGGACAACACTCCAACCAACTGAGCAACCCGGCCAGGGGTAGCCTAATTTTCATGGTGGCATAAAAACTGGACATTTTGATTATTTGTGTCAAACAATAAGATTGTTTCCTTTTTTTTTTTAACACTGAACAATTCTGTATATAATTTCCTACCAATATGCATGCTTTTAGGAAATATAATAATGAAAAAGAAGGGACAAATGGAATGGATACTAAAATCTTGATTCATGTTACTGAAAGGCTTCCCATAAAGAATTTAAATTCCCACTAGTAAGGTTTATATATATAATTCACTAAAATCATCATTAGTACTGAGTACTGTTGCCTTAATGAAATAAACCACTTCAATTGTTTTAATGAGGGATAACATCACTTATTGGTGGTATGTCTTATGACTAATATTTTTTATGTTTTACAATCCATTATATGAATCTCCCAACCATATCCTTGAAATACCTTTCTATCAGTCTTTGTGTTTCCTAAAATCTGTATGAGCTTTTAAGTATAATAACCTTTGTCATATATAAATAATTGTGACTAGGCATTTAGAGGCTGAGAACTCTTAACAAACACCAATACATAAGGCAGTAGTTACTATAATGGATATCACTACATAATAGTGACTGTTACTGTGTCTTAAAGCTTTAAATAAGATTGTTTCCTTTTGGCTCAGGGGATAGAGCGTCGCCCTGCGGACTGAAGGGTCCCAGGTTCAATTCTGGTTAGGGGCGTGTGCCTTGGTTGCAGGCACATCCCCAGTGGGAGGTGTGCAGGGGGGCAGCTGATCGATGTTTCTCTCTCATCGATGTTTCTGAGTCTCTATCCCTCTCCCTTCCTCTCTGTAAAAAATCAATAAAATGTATATATTTTTTTTTAAAAAAAGCTTTAAATTTAAGTCTTTTCTGTAATTCAGAGATTATTAAGGTTAGGTCAACTTAAAAAAAGTTGCTTTTAAATAACCTTTCAAAGAGCTCCACTGTAACTCTTCAAAGTTAATGTTAACAGCAATATTAAAACAATAAATCTGTTTACAACTTACTACTGTTAATTTTCTAAAAATGTATACACAAATAAAAGGTCAAACTCCTAAAACAGTTATCTATAACAAAAATTCTCATCTTCCACTTTAATTCTGCATGAAAAAAAAAAATTAATAGTTTCTTTTTCTTTCATGCAAAAGGCAAAGCAATAGGTAAGGATAAACCAAAAAATTTCTAACCAATGTTTGCTATTTAACTTTTCTTTTAGAAGATGAATCTAAGCCAAAGTTTTCAGACAGAAAAAAACAAGATGACTCCTACTTATGAATCATTATTGCTATTACATCATACTAAATGGAAATATACACAACCTAGTAACAAAGCAAAATAGAGAAAACATTTCTCCTCCAGAGTAAAATGTAAACAACTGCCCACTAAATCAATAGATTGGCGCACAAACAAAACAACAGATGTACTAAACATTTTACATTTTCATTTACTTTTCTTCAAAACCAAACTCACAGGCTTTCAAAGGGAATAGGTTTTGTTTTCATAGCATGCTAATAGTTCTTACTTAACACTGACTCAAAGGGTCCTAAAATCCTTCCTAAACCTAATTTCTATTTCTATACATTTCTTTTTGCACAACAAAATCAGTGTCCAAGAGTTAACATAACAGTGCTTCTCTCCTTAGAACCAGAATTAGAAAACAAACAGAAAAATATAAAATATTAAATTTCCACTACACAATTAATACTGTGCTAGTTCTATAATATAGACTTGTTTTTAGGTTTCTATTAGTGCTATCTAACTATGAGAAATGACATAACTAGCCTGGCTGGTGTGGCACAGAGTTGGGCATCGACCTATGAACCAAGAGGTCATGGTTCGATTCTGGTGGGGGCACATGCCTGCGTTTCAGGCTTGAGCCCCAGTGTGGGGTGTGCAGGTGGCAGCCAATTAATTATTCTCTCTCATCATTGATGTTTCTATCTTACTGCTTTCTGAAATCAATAAAAATATATTAAAAAAAAAAGAAATGACATAACTAAAACAAATAAAAACCCATTTAATTCTGTAACACAGATCTTCCAAGTAAATAAAGATAATTTGCTTTTGAAGCAAAGAACCAAGAGTACGGACCTATCAGCTTGGCTTAGGATAGAGTTTGAGAATCACTAACATAGTATCAAGTTTTCTATCATCAGTTTCTAAAAATCCCATCTCCTTGTTCATTTGCTATCAAAAGTAAGAATTAACTGAGATACAGTTATCTTACCTTGATTGAATAGCAAGATAAATTGTACGACGAAATGAGACTAGATTAATTTCTGTTTTGTCATGAATAGTCACTTTTTGTCCTGAAAGAAACAAGAAAATTATGCAAGTATGAAAATAAATGTGAAGAACTGAAAATGTTTTTCTGTATAATAATTTTCTAATTACATTTAGAATCTATGAGTTTAAAAATAACAATATTTTTTCTACAGTATAAATTCTATTTGTAGAATTCAAAGAAACTATTTCAAGTCTATTATCATATCTTAAAATACTTTAGTAAGTTTTGTTAGCTCAAAGAAGTTCAGAACCAAGCCAGAAAAGCTACTTTCGTTTCTGTGTCACTTGCTTATTTAGACACTATAAAAGGCTGCACCTATGATATTGCTTAGTAAAACATTATTTCCAGAGCTCTAAAAAGTATCTTCATAATTTGGAAGAACTATAACTTATGGGTAGAAGTACAGTTTCAGAGAACACTGGGATTTATTGTGACAAGTTAGATGGGTCCAAAATAAATATGTGTATTTGTTAAAATTTTCTTGTAACTAATAAATGTTAAATATTTAATCAGTTTTATTTGAACAGTAACCTATATAATAAAAGGCTAATATGCAAATCGACTGAATGGCGGAACAACTGGTTGCTATGACGTGCACTACCACAAGGGGGCATACGCTCAGTGCAGGAGCTGCCCCCTAGTGGTCAGTGTGCTCCCACAGGGGGAGCACCGCTCAGCCAGAAGCCAGGCTCACAGCTGGTAAGTGCAGCACTAGGCCATCAGTCAGACATCCCCTGAGGGCTCCTGGACTGTAAGAGGGTGTAGGCCGGGCTGAGGGACCCTCCCACCCCCGACCCTGCCGCCAGTGCACGAATTTCATGCACCAGACCTCTAGTTTTCACCTAAAACAAAGAAATTCTAAAGTAAAATATAGTACATGGATAGCAAGATGTTTTAAACAAATACGACAGTAAAGCAAAATTAAACTTATTTTTATAAAATACATTATAAAAAGCAGTTACACTTTAAGATAAGACAGAACTAAATATGTTGCCTTAAAA